GGGGTGGGGGGCTCTAGAGATTAGGGCTGGCACTGGGAGACTCTGGAGGCCGGGGCTTTTGGTGGACTGGTAACATTTTATTTGCATAATGAATGTGCAAATATACAAATAAAATGTTACCAGTCCACCAAAAGTTTGTGAATGGGTTCGCTAGTCCCTGGTATCAAAAAGTTTGGGAACCACTGCCTTAAATTATGAAAGAGCCATTGTCCACTGTGGGAACGCCTTTTGAGTCCTTAAAGTGAATTAAGATTTTGCATGGAAACACCAGTTTACTAGGAAATCCTTAGGACTCTTAAATTCCATTGGTTGGGACATTGAAATGACTATAGGCCTCCTTTAAGGGAGTGCCTGACTACTGAAAAACTTTTCTTTAACTTAGGCTATGTCTACACTGCCCCCGTTTTGCACAAAAAATATGCAAATGAGGCAAAGCGTGGAGTATCGCCACACCTCATTTGCATAATTAATTAGGCTCTGTTTTTGCGCAAGAGGCTTTTGCACAAAAAGGAGCTGTCTACATGGCTCCTTTTTGTGCAAAAAACCCCTCTTGTGCAAGAGCCGTTCTTCCTGAAAAAAAATGCGGAAGAACAGCTCTTGTGCAGGAGTCGTGCAATAGACTTTAGAAATATTTTAGAAATCTCTAAGTACTGAGAAAACAGTTTTCCAAGCAGTTTTCAAAAATCCATCACTGTCAATATCTGTTTAGTGACTGGGACACCTCTCTCTCTGAGGGGCAGCTTTTTTTTTTTTATACTTGTCAGCAGGGGCTCCATTTGATGCAGAGTAGGGTTGAGATGGTTTTGCCATAAAGAGATTTAAAAGTTGCTGTAAGGAAAGTTCTGTAAGTTCATTTTTAACATTGGTTTGTTTAGCTGAACAATTAATACATCACATTTTTTAAAAGTTTATGAAAAATGTTAACCAAAATAAATGTATTTAGTTTAGAAAACAAAATTGTCAACTGCTGCTTCCTGTCTAATTGTTATATATTCTTCTCTTACTTTCTTTTAAGATCCTTAGAAATTTTTTATGTACAGGCAGTCCCCAACTTACGCGGATCCGACTTATGTCGGATCCGCACTTACGAACGGGGCTTTCTCGCCCCGGAGGTCGAGGTAGCGGATTGCTACCTGTGAGCTCCGGGGCGAGAGAGCCCCGTTCATAAGCTGCTCCGGTGCCCCTGGTCTGCTGGAGACCGTCTCCAGCAGACCAGGGGCACCAGGTGGGTTCCCGCGCCTCTGAGGCTTTGCTCTGGCAAAGCCTCAGAAGCGCGGGAACCCGCCCAGTGCCCCTGGTCTGCTGGAGACAGTCTCCAGCAGACCAGGTGCACCGGAGCAGCTTACGAACGGGGCTTTCTTTCCCCCC